TCTATTGACCCATAGAGTATTAAACATTGTTTTTAATTTACTTTTTTTTATTTCCAACATAAAGAATAGAGTGACGTAAAATTAGCTATGATTAGTTCATTCAATATTAAACTTTAGTTATGGCATACAAAAAAGTCTGTAAATTACAAACATCGTCATCTCGAAGAATCGACCATTTAGGCAGGATTTCAATTGTATTGCCAGCCTTGGTTCACTCTCGCAATGCTTTCGATAGAAACAGAGGGCCTACCATGAAATGATTTCCGAAAATTCGGGGCCGAACGAAACACAAATTTGATATTAAAATTACATAATACATACCGTTTAAAAATATTGAAAATGTTAAAATATTATTCCTTTGGACTTTTATGGTAGGATTTATGACGAACGAAGTGTTAAGCTCCAATTTTCTGGGCCAATTTCGGTATGAACGAAAACACGAAAATGAGTCTGAAAATTCGGAACTTCATTTAATGGTATATACCCTGTTCGAGATTGATCGAAACAAGACTGGATTATAATGTGAATACACACATTTTTATTTACGTATTAATATTTTACTAGACCGACAGCGAACTGAGACTGGCACCTACATGTTTATATATATATATTTTTTATATTGTTGGGAATAACAAACAGTGATTCATCTGGTAAAATGGTTGCAGAACAAAATAACAGAGGTCACAGAATATACTGTGACACCTAAGGTACATACATATCAATGTTTCTTATATATACGAGTATATACGTAATAGGAAATCTCCCTCAAGGTTTTTTGTATATTAGTATGATATAAAATTTTTTGAAACCTACCAATCATAAACAAGAATCAAAATCGAAAGAAAAAAATTATAAAAACAGATATTTAATTATGTTTTAAACAACAATCTTTATTATACATTGAAACATTATTGGAATAAATAATAGATTCCTGTTCAAAAAACTCAGTTGCCTCCTTATGAACCGTTTACAAGCTAACCAGCGAAGTACAGTCGGAGATCTTTTTACATAGTCATCTATACAATTAACATCGCCTGTCTCTACTCGTAAACGTTAAAACTCTCACGGAACACAAGAATCTATAACTACTCCAAATTAAAGCTTCTCATTTTACCATTTTAACACATTACGTACCCTACGACGTGATGTCACAGAAATACATATAATTCTAAGTGTAGTCTACATAACGTAACTATGATACACTGGCGGACAAAAATTTAGGATGTCACAATTATTTGAATTAAATAATAAAAAAAAAATGTATAGCAAATATAAATCCCAATTTCAATATTGACAAACTATAGTTTGTTTCAGTAGACTACATAAAAGTATAGACAAACGAATAATTGACCATAAGATAGTCCGTTGATGTCCAGTTGAATGTTTCGATTTGTTACTATTTTTAATTAGGGAGGCTGATAATTAAAAAAAAAAAACTTGGTTACCTATTTGATTAAGGTCTATTCAAATAATATAGTATAAAAATATAGTATGATTATAAAAGGAATCATGAAAATTTGTTCACAATTATAAAATTGTATCGTAACACATGCAATGTGCCGTAAATATGACAACCTTGTTTTTGAAGTTAGTTGGAAATTATGAGTTAAGTAATTATTCTAAAATTAATATAGATATAATTATTTTAAATAAGAGTTATATTATTAAAATAATTTATTTTTAGTACCATTAAGTTTCAGAATAAGTTGACTTTTTTGTTTATTACTAGTAACGATTTTATTTATCTGAATTAATGATTGTATTACATTTTCTTGTTTTGTGGAAATAGTAAATTTATTTGAATAAATTAAGTTGAAATTAATAAATAAATCTTTAAATAAATTTATATCAATATTGAATATTACGTTATGATATTGGACATAACAAAAAATAGTAACTAAAATTTAATTGCAAAATTGTGAAAAAATATTGTATATCGTTATTTTGTCCGCCATTGTATTATCTAATGGTGCATTCACATTGATAAAACTACTTACAATTCGTCTAACAGAAAGGCAAGGTTCTACGAGTATATTGGATATAAATCCTATTGTTGACAGCCATCCCCAATAATATTTCCAAAAGGCTATGTTTATATTTAGTTATCTGAAGGAAAATTGCTTCATCACACGTTAGATCGATTCGATTAGTGTTGATTTGGGGCTAAAACAAGAATTAATGTATAATATATTAATCAAAAATTAAAATGCTTTAATTCGATATTTTTGGGTAATATTATCGAATAATCGATTATCGATTAATCGTTATTGTTTCCTACAAAAAGTTGAGATTAGATTATAATCTAATAATTTGTTCTAATCAATTAAGCAGTAAATGTTCAATTGATTTTTTTTTCTGTTTATGGTACGTAATACAATAGATTTATTTTATTTGTGTATAATCGATAATATTTATTTATTTATTTATTCATTAGTACAAATATGTGTACATGGCGGACTTAATGCTAAAAGCATTCTCTCCCAGTCAAACATAGGGAAGTTTGAAATATTGTTCTTGTAATTGCTGTTAATATTAATATTATTTATTTATATTGATTATATCGATCAGTTGATATTTTTTTTATATCGACGATTTATTGTTAATCGATTATATCGTATTATAAACAAAGCAATTAATTGTTTGATCATTTGGGCCATATATGAATTAAATTTAATAATAGATACCCAAATATTAATTTGTCAGGCAGCACTACTTTGAGGAGATAAGAATCCTTATCTGTAGACACTATAATGACGCTGTTTGTCCAAATTATGGCCATGTTTTGATCAAAAACTAGTAAATTATTTTAGAACAAGTTAATCTTTGGTTAAGAGATGCCCATAAATATTCAAAAAGTAATACTTTATTAGGGATGACTGTAAGGAAAAAAATAGGTAAATAATAATTGCAACAAACACAGATCATCGGTTAAGATAAATAAGTAGGAAAGTGATAATTTTTTTATCTTTCAGTACGTAACGCATAGTCAAGATAAATTTATTATTAAAAAAATATCGACTTAAATGTTAACCAAGTATAAATCAACAAGAATGTAATCTCATTCGATAAAAAATAAAATCATTAAAATCAATCCCAATTAGGAATTATGAAGAAAAAAATTATGCTGAAGGAACAATAAATTATATCTAATATATATTTAATAAGATTAAAAATCTTTTTAATATTTCGAATTCATTATAATAAATCATAAATGGAAGAATTTTTAAACTTTTTTAAACAAATTTTAATGATGTTGCATTTTATTTAAAATGATCATTACAGTCTTAGATTACAGTCAAGTTACTTAAATTTGCTCTCTGTGTTATAAAAAGAAAAAAAAAAAAGTTTTATCATTTTGTAGAAAAGTAAAAAACATTTTATTTATAGATGTCACGATAAATTAAGAGATGATTGAATTTGCTTTTCGCATGTCATTTTTCAAAGATGCTATTCATTGCCGTTGTAATTTTATCCTTCTGCAGTCGTGTTACGATTACATTTTATTTATAACGCCATCTAATACTATAATAATTGTTCTCTTTAGGTGGCATTTTTAATTAAAAATATACGAAGCATTTATTGACTGAAATTTTGTCTAATAATGTCAATAGTCTATTTGTTACAAACATAATTAAAATACTATGTTTTTTATTGAGAGGTTAAAAATTTATAAAAAAAAAATACTAATAAAATTCTCTATGTTTTTATGTACATTTCGATTTTTTTAAAATTTACTGCTCTCATAAAAATGTAGTTGTTTTTGCGAAGAGACCATGAATATAAAAAAAAAGGGTTATATTAATAAAGGTTATATTGGAAAATAGTATTCATCGTGAGAATAAAGTAATTGCCTGTGAGAGAAGAGACCCCGGAGTTAACGTGCATGTATGAGATGAATTTGTGGAAGTGAATGAAACAAAACATGTACTCTGCGTACAGCTATTGTTCTTTTTTGTTTACCTCATACGAAAGCTGTCGTAAAATCAATTGGTACTTTTATTATTTACATGAATATTCACAATTTTTTTTTAAATCAATTGGGGTTTCGTAGGTTAGCGTGAAATAAGGTGATACTTAATCTTTAAATATTAAGACATTGGGGAAGCAAAATGTATGCAATTATTCATACATTTGCACACATTTAAAACGCTATTAATGTTTTGTCATAAATTATACATGTTTACAGAATCATGCATCAATTTGATTATCTTTTATATCGTGACGATAAAATTTTACCGTTACGCGTTGTTCTACAATAAATTATAAAATGTCTATAGTTAAAAGAATTCTAAAAGATGGAAATGTTATGATTTCTTACACCATTATTTTTATAGCAAACTGTCTGTGATGAAGAAATTCCGATGGCAGTTTGGGCTTAAAGCGTTGTTAACGCCATCTATTAGCAACTCGACGCAAGATAGACCGGGCAGAAGTTAGCAAATGCGCCAACTTCATGGTTCAATATATTATGAAAATAACAATAATCAACGGACACATTTTTATTCAAACATTTCCTGTATTATGTAATATATAAAGAAATATACGATTAGCATAAAAAAAGAGTTTTTAATCACAATCAATGTAATGTAATTAATTCTCTAATACGGTACTAATACCGTCTAGACGGTACCGTATTAGAGATTTTTTTCTTAAACATGGCTGTTAATACTTCATTGTTGCTCCAAGCTATACGTGATTCGCTCGATCAATTCTGACAAATCATTCATTTTTGAGTCGGACGTATTCTATTATAAAATTTCGTTGAAATCTGTTCAAACATCTGTTGATGGAACTAGGCAGACATCAATTCTATGTATGAGTAACTTGAATTGAATAGCTAAACTCTAGCTTTTCTACCTTATTGTTATGAATATAACTCTATTTTCTTTCAAATTTGATTTTATACAGATTTATTTATTTTTAAATAATAGCTAAGTTGACGATCATGAGATTTTAGAAAATAATATTTTAATTGATGAATAAATAGATTAAGTTACCGCCGCCCTACTAGATTTTATAGCCTAATGATCTGTGCCTGTGCTAAGAAACCTAACGATAGATATAAACGAAAAATCTAATAGTGTAAAAGGCGTAATACACTTATTTACAAAACCCAGCCTTTAAGATCCACTACAAGCACCAGTACCTACTAGTCGAGAACAAAACGGAATACAATTAACTATGATATGTTCAGTTAACGTCTCAGTCTTTATACTACTGCTAGAGTCAGTCCTAAGCTAGTGGATTCCACAATCCCATAAGAAGAGGACGCGATATTTTCAAAACGGAAATCATCAAAAAGCTTCGTATTTATAGTACATCCAATTTCGTAATACACATGTCTAGAAAAATATTTAAGTATAATTGCACCGGCAACAAGTTCATTAAAATTAGTAAATATTGTAGTACTCACAGCTTTTATGATATGTATCATTTCCTTACGATTATTTACATCTATTACACTTATAACTACATTAATATCGTTTGTGATAGGTTTTTGTGCGTCACCTAAAGCGAGTGCGTCGTGCCTAGTATCATTATGAACAACATATGCTACATTATTTATAAATTCATCGTAAATAGATACAAAATTGATGCTTTTCAAAATATATCTCTCAGTAACATAAGGAACAACGTGTAAGGATATAGATTTAGCGGTGTCGCTCAGTAAATTCGAAATTGAATTGACGATATTCTGGTTAGAATTGGGGAGAGAGAACGGGAGATTGTACACGAGGGTGATAAGGATGATGAGAATGTAAAGGAAGGTGATGGGACGGTGAGGGGTGAAAGCGGAGCTGGGAGGTGTAGGGTAAATGACGTCCACTTCGGCGATCTTGAAGATAGACAAGAGTAAATGCGACGAGATGTCTTCATTTTGTGAGTTGATGCGTGTCTTTATCACTTTGAGGACGTCGATGCATTCCTCCTGTAAGCATATTTTGATATGACTTAAGTAAATTTTAACACATTCTTGTAAATTGCAGAACATTTATACATTTATAAACAAACAACAACTAGAGATTGGCATTTTGGATGTCGAATAACTAATCCGGAAATTTGATGGGTTTTACAAAACTTTTTATTTGAGATGAATAAAAGAAACTAATAAAATTGTCATTTATATTTTTATTTATAGCAAGTATATATATACGCTCTCTCCCTGTCCAATGAGAAAAAATGCATAGTGTACTTGACGACACAAAGAATAATAATTATTTGTGTCGTCAAATGCCGTTAGAGTGGTAATAGTAAGTAAATACATCGTCACACATCTTACTTTTTTTAAAGGAAGACTGATGCCCAGTAGTGTGCCGTTGTAAATTATTACAATGATTCAATTAAATGTTGAAATTACCTTTTCTCTATCGAGGAGTGCCTCGCCGGCGTCTCTGAGCATCTCCTGCTCACGAGGCGGCACGCTGGCAGAGATAATGACATTCTCGTTGCTGATATTGAATAACGTCAGGGTACAGTTCGTCTGTTGATAAATACAATTTATATATTAAGAAGCAGGATAATTATGGATGTCGTAAAAGGCGACTAAGGGATTTTAATGGTTGAGGGATGGGCAGCAGCATCCCTCCTGAACAATAGTTGCTAACTCGCCTGCTGAGTTTGGCAACTACTGGCAAAACCCCCCCAATAAGGAGAGGCTGATGTTCAGCAGTGGACAACAAACGGCTGATATGGTAAGCAGGATAATTATCTTCAAATTTGTAATTATCTTAAATACAGCGAGTGTGGGTAGGATTTTACTTATTTGATATATCACATATGTGGAAATTTGTAAAGGTTTTTGTTACTCGACTCGAAGAACACAGAAAGATCATCTTTTTGTTTAACGTAAAACAAAATTTGGAATTAGTATATACAATCTTTTGAAAAGTGAAGCATGAGCATGGGTATCACAATATAGTATATTATGTAATGTTTATGGCTTTGCTCATATATAAATGTCATGTGTTTGTTCGTTTGTTATCTAAAGATTTAAAAGCTATAAATAGGGGATAGTTTCTCTAGTAAGTCACAATAAAAATATGCTCATACAGCTAAAACAGTAACTTACTCCTTCACTATGTACCCCATTTAGATATTGCTGCAAAAGACGGACGGCATCTTCGGCACCAAGGCCTGTGTGGGGCCGGAGTAGAGCTTCATCGACTGCGCTGAACCCGAGTAAGAGGTACACGCCTTCAGGAAGCTTGTATTCTCCTGAAATTTGTTAATAAGAAACTGTATTACTGACGGAATAAAAAGACTTTTTGGATATGGAATCTTCCTATGAATATTCCTATCAGGTCAGGAGAATTATTAATGAAGACTCATTGTTAGAAATATACTCTGTTAGATCAAGCATTACATGATTTCTCCTAGAAACTGTCATTAATTCACTGTTCTGAATTTATCTGCAAATAACCAAACAAGCAAAGTTACATTACGATTACATTTTGATCCATTTCTAATGGGTCAAAATAAACTGTAAAAAAATGTAAGAGCTCTGTTAGGTCGACCTGCAATTTCAGTTCAGCCCTATGATTTATCACATTTAGACGATTTCAAATAATAGAAGATTCTTAATTCGCTTGCATATTTTTCGTGTGTATTTTACGGAACACTTTGATAATCAAAACCAATTTTGTCATCAGTGAATTGCCTACTTTTTTGCAGAGTCAAATCTTAAACCATTGATAAAGTTCTTTTATGATTTTCAAGTATTCTATAACTAAAATCTATAAACTAACCTGGGTTTGGTCTCATGCAGATAAAAGACCCAGAATAACAGTAGCAGCGTCCTCTGTATGCCTGGTACGCTGGCGCTGCGTGTGAGTAGTGAGCGAGACGGGATGAACAAGGGGCACGGGGCACGCATGCCACCTTGCAAGACACCTGCAGTGAGGACTCGCAGACACAAAGGTCTGTACACTCAGCTAGTTCTGCTGAACGGTACAACTGCAATCAGAAAAAGAGATAATGTAGTTACATAATAAATATAATAATAATTTTACTCGTGTTTCTGACCTTAATCACCTGTGTGGTCATGGCTGTATTTCGGTTTGAGGGATGAGATAAAGCAGCAAAATTATATAAAGGTATTTACTATAATAAGATACCCATGGCATCTTAAAATAGTCTATCAAGCCAATGGTGTATTGTTCATGTTTATAGGCGCCGTTTATTACTTTCCATCAAGTGGGTCGTCAGCTCGTCGCTCCAAATGGCATGAAATTTTATAAGTCTGCATTATCATTTCACAGTTCATTTAACAACTTCTCTAAATTGGCTTCGGTTTGAGTATACCGAGCTGTATAACCAGATGTTTGTTCATAGTTTATAAGAGATGAGAATAAAAGCGATCATTTAGGCAAATTATGTTGATTTACTTGGATTATCTCGATATTTCGACCAGGTTGTACCGCCGTGGTCACGAGTAGACTGGCTCTTATAAACCAATACATTGCATACTATATATGCAACGAGAACGTCTTAAAGTTAATATTGCATACCGTTACTGAGTTCCTGTATGCCAGTTGTCTGGTACTATATGTAATAGCACAAGATGTAGCTTCTGAACTAGGCTTTTTTGTGATGTGTGAATACAGCAGTTATATGCTGATAAGGGTAAAGAAGATTAACAAAGAGGTTAGCCATCCCCTTCTTAAGACGATATCGGATCTTTATCGGGTCTTTATTTCAACTTACCCGTCTAGTTTCTCCCATCTTAATATACTGCGCCTGATCATCGCTCTCCGGTTTTTTCACCACACAATACTTGGTCGGTTCTAAGGTGGTGGTCGGTCGTGGGGTCGTTGTAGTTGTGGTCGTGGTGGTCGTAGTGGTGGTAGTCGTCGTGGTAGTTGTGGTGGAAGTCGACGTGGTCGTATCAGCGGTGGTCTCTAGCACTGGCTCGGAGATTTGTTCTACCTCAATAGGGCCGACGGTTTGTTCGGACATGGTTGTCTTTGGACCTATAGGCTCCCGGTTCACCTGGGATGGTTAAGAAGTTAGTGGTCATGTAGTGAGAAAATAACTATGCGATATGTTATCATACCACTTCCTTCCCCAGAATGTTAGGATGAGAAGGGATTGTTATTATTGGAGATTAGCATCCCCATTGTTAGGAATAAACCCTATCAGGTCGACCTTCTCGCGGTTCCCCGTGAGTGTTTTATTGTTGAATTTGTCATGATGGGGTAACTGCTTCATCTTCATCTATCACCCCTCACTGATGGCCTACCAGTGTATACCGACAGCTCAGGCGGAGTTACTAGGGAGTATTACCAGATAATAGTGGAATATCATCTAGTAATACTCCCCAGAATGTTGGAACTTTAACTTATCATAATATATACTACCAGTTTTGTATATAGCTTTTACTTTTGCTCTATCTGTTTCGCTTTTTTCTTCTTTGCTTCTTTTATCATGGCTTCATTACTTTTCTATATAATTCTTAAGAATTCTGGGAGTCCACAATACTGATTAGAAACATTATAATGTTACTTACCTGCATGTTATCAGCGCGTGGTGTTCCATGGTGTGTAGTATGACGGTGCTGGTGGATCGTAGTATGATGGTAAACTGAAGGCTCCGGTGGGACGGTCATGTAGCTGATGCCATTATCGAATTGGGTGGTAGTGAGCAACGAACCGTAGGTTTTGATGTGGTAATCGCTTTGGGACTCCACTGTGAAATTGTTAAATTACAAATTTTATTCTTAGTCAATGTGAAAGGTCCTTTAGGGGTATAACGCAAGGGGTGACATGTTTTACTCTGTACATGTCTAACGTTACTCTAGTTATTGGATATGAACAGAGTAATTAGTGCAAACCCTATTATGATATCTATAGATGATGGTTAAAACTTAGTAACTGAGTCTTATATTAGGTAAGGTAAGGTATCCACAACAAGGTGACTAAGAGAGGGCTAGGAATGGACAGAAGCGTCTCTCTTAAAACATTTCCAAAGCTTAACGGCGGTTGCCAATCCGCCTGCCAAGTGTGGCTACTGGCAAAATCCCCCAAATTGTAGGTTTATGTTCACCAATGGACAGTTAAAGGCTGATATGATGATGATGATGATGAAAGGTACCCACCAACACAAGGATTGAGCCACAGCAGTCTCTGCCAGCCGAGACAGTCGTACAGTTGTGCGAAGTCTGTGCCGCGGCAGGCGCATGCTGCTCGGAGCTGGGTGCCGAGGACGGCCACGACGGCTGCCCTGCACGCGGCGGGTGAGCCAGCGCATCCTTGGGTCACGGCGTCCACCGCGCACCACTGCTCGTAGTTCTCTAAGCGAATTCTGTTTCAACAAAACGGGAGGTCAAGATTTTAATTTCGATTTTACAGGTTTGTTCTTTATAGGTGTGATTATATGAAATTAAAATTTATGGTTGTGAATATAGAGTTGAAAATTTATTGTAGACAGTTTGATTCTAAAAAGGTTTTTTTTTGATGGGTGAAAATGATATGATAACCCCGCTTGCGCTAACGGGATACGCTGGCGGAGCACCAGTGAAGGGTGATAGATGAGAATAAAAACAGGCCTTTAGCCCATCATGATAAATTCATCAGGAATTAACCATAATAGTTTCCAGGGAGAACCGCGAGAAGGTCGACCTGGTTGGGTATATTGCTAGCAATGGTATTCTCAGTCTCCATTACTAACAATCCCTTTCCCCCCAAAAAGGTTTTTATTAAATTACGTAGGTAATGCAATATATAAAATGTACATAAGTTATAAGATAAACAAAATTATAATTTTTAAAGTCTTTAACAGGATAAGAATATGAAAATTATAACAAAGTATAAATTATATGGTAATGTATCGTTAATACAATACCATCGCCATCAAAGATTACATTATTTACATCAGAGAGTGAATTTACAGGGTACAGAAGAAGAACACCTGAATCCTCAGGAATGACAATGCATGGGGGGTATCATCGACCAAACAATGCTGTTTCTGCTATGTAACACTGCTATGTCAATGGTACTGCTCATGTCTATAGGCGACGGTTACCACTTTCCGTCAGGTGGGCCGTCAGCTTGTTAGTAATTTTAAGTTGCATAAAAAAAAAGATATCTCAAGCAAAGTTATGTCTGCGACTTAAATAAGACGCCAGTTTTAAATTATTTTAGGATCGGTGACAGAAAATTGACGTCAATAGCATATGACAAATAATTGCTACCTTTGATTTGGGCTGTCAGTGTTTACAATTTTTTGGTTGATATTTTTTAGTGAGATATAAAAGTATGTATTCTAAGGAATTGTTCGAATTGATGCCTACAGCTATATTCTATTACTGACATCAGAGAATTCATCTCCATATAGAGTTTCTTCCCGCGAACTTTGCGAAATCTCTAACGTGGTTTTTCCAAGAAACAAAGATTAAAGCACTCATATTTTTTATTAGTAACAGGTAACACGATTGAATAGATTGGGGGGGAAGGGAAAGGGATTGTTAGTAATGGAGACTGAGAATTCCATTGCTAGCAATATACCTAACTAGGTCGACCTCCTTACGGTTCCCCCTGGAAACTATTATGGTTAATTCCTGATGAATTCATCATGATGGGCTAACTGGCCTGTTTTCATTCTCATCTATCACCCTTCACTGGTGCTCCGCCAGCGTATCCCGTTAACGCAGGCGGGGTTACAATTCCATTGTACCTTTTACCCATAAAAAAAAACACGATTGACCTGATTTTCATCTAATAGCAATAATCAGTTCAAAATTGAGTTCGCGAACTCATGAGTTTTCAAAACTACTGAATTTTACTCCTATTCAAGGAATTAAATTCTCTGTTTTTCTATCAGTGTCTATTTCCAAACGGATATCCATCAATTTGAGTACAAAAAGAATTAGAATTACAGATGTGTAAGAAGAAACCATTTCGATGTACACTGCTGTCAGACTACGTCTACACGGCTCGACCGTATTGGATAAGACTGTTAGTGTAATGAAGGAATGAGCGAAATTAGTGCCCTTCGAACATCCCGCTATTTGTGGTCAAAATTAAACTGATTGGGACTTGGGGACTATTCTGGAATACGTACGTTTACTTAGTTTACATTAATACTAGTTGCATTCCCTTGCTTCATGCTAGCGAATAGCATGCATCGATTTATATTCTGTGTTAATGTTATGTTAGTATATAAATTAATTTATCCGTGTACCCGCGGTGTTTCTCTTTAAAGATCACCGAAGTCGAACTGCAGTTGCCAACTCGCTTGTCAAGCGTAGCAACTACTGGTAAAACCTCACAATAGACGGAGGCCTATGTTCAGCTGTGGAGAGTTAACGGCTAATAGGATATTACAGGTTTGATTTTTTCTATGGAATTTGGGTTGGTTGACAGATTGACGGTCAGCCAATTCAAAAATATGATTAAATATGAACAGTAGAAAGGGTTTCACAAAATATACAGATTTTTAGTTGGAAATTTATAGAATATAGAATAATCTTAGATTATATAGATAGAGCGTTGAGTTTCAAAAACGGGTCAACTTTTTGTGAGCTAATTGTCAAATTAACCGACTCGTTTTTTTATTAGTGTTCTATATACTTAGGCCCACACTTTATCTTGACGTATCTATATTTAATTACATGATAAATAGAATTAGTTTTGACTCATTAAAAAGATGCAGAAAGACAAAACAAACATAGAAGTTATAAAGGAATCACTCATAACTATTTATCATGCAAAAATGTATGAAATAAATAGTTGACCCGCTTTTCTTGAAGCATTTGTATGGAGACACTGCATAATCTAAGAAAATAATATAGTTAAAGAAGAGAAAGATGTCAATTTGTTTGAAATTCGAAGATTGGAATTTACGAATACTATTCGAGATAAATATTATAAAAGAAATAAACGTCTAAATCGTTAATTTTTTAGATTTCATGTCAATAAATTAAGTAAATGCATTAGGTTATTCGACAAAATATCGCATGAGATTTTTTTATTAAATAAATAGTGCAAGATAGTAATAGACCCCCGAGTAATCGGCAACTGGGGTTCTGATACGGATCCGAACAATATGTACCAACTGGGTACAATTAGTTTATTGATTCCTAACTGGAATTTCTGTGAGCCACTCCTCTCATCAACTGTAATGGAATCGTCGTGTTTATAAAATTAAATTTACTTGAACGATTTGACGAAAATTGGTTTGGGTGGAAACACAAGGGTGTAGGTGTCAGCGGTTTTATTCGTGTATTTATAATGTCTTCATATTGTATTAAACTCACATCATCATCCATGCGCGCAATGAAAATTGTATGTACCCGTACAGGTAAACGAAGTGTAAGACGATCCCTACTGTAGTAGGGATCGTCTTACACTTCGTTTACCTGTACGGGTATGTATAGAGTGATGACCTTAAATTCATTGCAGGATGTCAGTGAATGCAGGTGGTTCAGGACCGTTCTTTATGACAGTCCATGGGGAGGTCCATGTTGAGCAATGGACGGATAATGGTTGAGATCACAATTGATGAATGGTACTATATAAAATGGAGGAAGACAGAGTTTAGGATTATATTATCTGTGACAGGAACTACTTTTTATCCCAGTCAATTGATATCCCCGTAACGCGGACGAAGTCACGGGTAAAAGCTAGTGTTATTATAATTGTAAAAAAAAAACAAGACTATACTATTAGTTATGCGTATCTGCGTCTAGGGAGTGTTAAACATAAAATGTTTACCAAAACTTCATTTATATCGTTCGTACCTGTTGATCGTTTATATTCTGCAGGATAAATGGTCCATTGAGATGCGTCACTTTGTATAGGATTTTCAAGGTTTCCTGCTTGAGTATTGAGGTAAATAAGGACATTTTATATCCTACAGAACGCTATACATTATAAACAATAATTATCTGAGATAAATATAGTTTTTTAAGCAAATAGCAATATTCTTACTATTATAATATTATAAATATGAAAGTAAATTAGTTTATTTCCTCTGTTCTGCCTTAATCAATCATTATGAAATTTATTATACAGGTAGTATATGGGATGAAGAAGGACAAGGCTACCTTTTTATCCCGGTTAGTAAACTTATCCCAGTCCTGCGGATATAAATTGTGTATATGTCACTAAAGTCATTCGTGTTTCTACCGTGAAGCAGTTGTGTTTGCATGGCTGTGTTTCAGTTTGAAGAGTGGTAGTGAATTTACAGGGTACAGAGAAATAACACCTGAGTCCTCAATAATGGTAACGTCCCATACGTATCATGGGTGAAACAGAATACTCTGTTATATCCATGGTACTGCTTATGTCTATAGGCGACGGTTACCACTTTCCATCAGGTGGGCCGTCAGCTTGTTTGTCATTATAAGTAGCATAAAAAAATTTGTCATTATGAAGTTATTATACAGGTAGTATAGAGAAGGGCGTACGCTACCTTTTTATCACGGTCAGTGAACTTATAGTCCTGCGGACGAAGTCACTAAAGCTAGTTTAGAATAAATGAAAGGATCGTAATAAGAGGTGATTTTAAAACAACTTGTAAGGTATATCAACATATGAGAGGTACCATGCAAATTGTGCTGTTTATGACTATAAGGGATGGTCACTGTTTCTCATCAGGTGGGTCGTCATCTTGTTTGCCAGTTTAAGTATCATAAAAAAGTAATTGCCAAGTTTTTTTTTTACGAGTTCTTCTTAGAAGATAACAACATGATAACCACTCGGTTGAGGACTCATAAAAATTTTGGCAATTTAAAAACGCTTGTGATCGACTCGTACGCACAATGGCTCAAATGAGAGGCTTAGCACGGAAAATAGAGCCCTAACATCACAAGCATTGTAATGTAAATTTCATTACAATGCTTGTGATGAAGTGTATAAATAAAGATTATTTTTATTCTATTCTCTATTAAGGACTGTGCATTTACGCCAAAATTAAGTTATAAAGCAATTTCTAAGTTTTTATTTTATAACTTTTGTTTCGTAAACGCTAATGGGTTTTTAGGGACTAGCTTAGGGAGTAGGTGATTAATATTTGTTAGTATCGTCTCTTTAGCAGTATTGTTCGTCAAGTTGCTTATATACATCTTTTTCCTTTCTACCAATATTTAGTATCTTTAAGAGTCATGATTATGGCCACAGTTCTGTAATATACGTGCATCTAAACATTTTCTGTATTGTTTACATCGTTGTTAGATATTTTAAGTAATAGCAACCTCAGTGAAGGATGGTTAGAAATGGATGAATGGATCAGTTAGTCCATTCGTTCGAATGGACTAACTGATCTAACTTCATTAGAATTAAGTACAATGATTTTTGAGGGAAATCTCAATCATTCGTTTATTTGCGGATGGTATAGTACATTTTTTTCTTCCATTTCTCCCAATTTGTCGTTTATTTACCTTAATCTTTTAGGGGAAAGAATAAAGAGTGTGATTCCGGTATAGAATTGGCCACATCTTCCTATCCCGTAAGAACCGATGAAGAACCGGGTGTTATAAGAACCGACTGAGGGACGGCGTGAGATGAGCAGCAGGGCCCTCTTAAAACATCTCTAAAGGCTAACTGTGGTTGCTAATTCGCCTGCCAAGCATGGCAACTACGCGCAAAATCCATCAAGGGGGAGGCTTATGATCAGTAGTGGACAGTTAAGGGCTGATATGATGATCATGATGACGATTTATAGCAGTTATCTACTCGTTGTACGAATAGATGGGTACTAGTAACAAGCTCTGCTTAGTTTGTAAACTAAATGACGTTATATGATGATGTGCAGCAGTACTACGTCCATTTGTTTGTTTTGTTTACTCTGTATGTATCACAAAATGTATCTACTGATATCGTCAATTCCAACAACTAGTTCGATGATTACTCTCGTAGCTGGCTTTATTCCGAGCCACTGCCATTATTTCTCTCTGTATTTGCTATTTCGAGAGCGTCGTCCTGATTGCAGCTTTCACACAATTTTAGTTCGACCAATGAAAAATTGCAAACCGATTTTAATCATTCTTTTTTATCATCATTCAGATTTGAGTGAAGGGCATATAGAGAATGCTATTTTGCATTACGTCCGCCTTTTGTACTAAACATTTTTTTATGTGGTTAATAAAGAAAAAATAAATTGTATTGTTAAAATAAATAAGTATTCAAGCTGGTAGGTTAATAAAAGCTAGTGGATACAGGATAATACAAATGTTTTCTCGTTTAAATACATGGTATAAGTAACTTTGATACTGATACTATTCTATTGAATTTGTCATACAACAATAATTTTGGTTATTTTTTAATGTATGAACCAAATGTATGATGCTTTCAAAATCATTTGATTATATTGCAACTATTTGATTTATTATTTGTAAAGGAACAATAATATTGTTACATATAATAGGAAACAAGCTGACCGCTGCCCTGGTGAAAAGTGCTAACCGTTGCCAATAGATATGAACAGTGTCACACATATCACGTATGAGATGACACCTCATTTGTTGCCATTCCTGAACGAATGAATAAATAAAAACTTTTTATTGTTCTTTTTAAAGAATTGTACAGATTGTAAAGAATAATAATGTGTACAAACAAAATTAACATATACTTAATTACATAAAAGCAAGATAAAGAAGCAACAATGAGCGACCTTATCGCTAAATAGCGATCTCTTCCAGGCAACTTTAGTTATTCTTTTGTACCTTCCAATTTTACTGCTATGTCTTATCCTTTAAATTATAGCCATACAAACACAGCTGCTTTATGGCAGAAATACGAATGCGATAGCGGTATTCTTGCAGAGGATTTTTGTACAGTCTCCTTCTAGTTATTTCCATTACTATTTGTTAGCTTTTACTAGCAATTTTATCCGCGTAATGTACTTGTAAATGAAATTTCACAGTTCTCGGTTGAGCCGTTAAGATGTAACACAAAATAAACAAACTTACTTCCACATTTATAATATTAGTAAGGACATTCTTCCACTTACCTGCATTCTGGATCTTCACGGCATGCGTGTGCGAGGATGTGGCAAGCTGGCAGCGGGGTGCCCACTGCTGGGCGCTGGGCACACATCGGATGAAGACGCTCTTGGGCATTCATGCACGAGTCCTCTCGGTTGTCGGTTTTCCTAAAACAAATAAATATATGATCACATTCAAGGAATGGTTGCATAAAAATGTGTTGACACAACTTGGAAGCACTAGAGAATAGATCGTTTCATGGAAAGTGGTAAACGTTGTCTATAGACTATAGATATGAACAGTATAACGGACTCCACAGAATACACTGTGCCACCCATAGTAATCCTTATGGGTTCTAAAAACTAAGATGTTGTCTTTGTGAGCAAATTTTAATATCATATCCTAACCCCTAAACCAAAATATAGCTATAATATGTAAGTACTGTTCTTAGATGGCAGAAACACGAGTAGGACAGAGGTACACAAGCAGTCGATTTTTATACATTTGCAGTTTACAAAACGAATAAACATAAAATATCAAAATTAAAAAGTCACACTGCACCGAGTTTTATATTTTTTTTTTCAAATGATTATATATAAATTTTGTGATTAAAGTAAAAAAAAAACATCTTAATATATTTGTGTCATTGACTAACATAATTAACCGATTATAATGACTATTATATTTATTAAAAGGGGTTTTTAATGGATCAAAATGGAATGGTAACCGTATACCGATAGCGCTGGCGAGATACCAGTGAGGGATGATAAGTGAGGATGAAGGCACGCCAGTTATCTCATCGTGACGGATAATAATTAAGTAAGATGGTTTCCAGGGGGATATTAAAAGTGTTCACTTCCGGCGTGGTCTCATACAAATTTGTTGTAAATTGATGTATAAGGGCAATAGATACCAAAACAATACTTTTTACAAATTTTGTCTTTCTATTTCTCTGTATGTATGTTTGTAACTGTGTTCCGGCAAAACGAAAAACTCACGAAAAACTACTGCATCTAATTGGATGTAGTTTTTACAGTTGTATTTCTGACGGTATAACTTAAAATCTGCCGCACGGTTTATCTTGATCCGTCATATAGAAGTGATTGCGTGGATCCACGTGTACGAAGTAGCATGCAAAAAACTATTTTTTTTTTGTAATAAAAGTATATTTTTAAAACTTCACCTTGTACATTTAATTATGTAAGGGGTGCAAGTCGTATTTTGTGCGAAAGCGAAGTAAAATTAACTTCCTGGTTGCCACAGTCTCGTAATTTTAAATTTTCATAATCCATAAAGAATTTTCTTTTCTTTTAATTACAGGTGTTGACTCCCCTGAATGCATAATTTCAAAATTTAATTTTAATGACCCCAGTTTTATTTTTAATATTCGAGTAATTTTTTTTATTAATAAAGTTTACGAAGTTATAAGACGAGGCCAATGTTAATTTTCGAAAATGCTCAACCGATTTTAAGAAATTGTATAGAATTAAACAATTTCTTGTTGTAGCAAAACTTGAAACATAGAATGGTTATCTTGTTAAGTGACCTTTGACGTGGTAGGTGGCGGTAGGGGGCACAATAATTAATAATATTTTCGTGGATGTTAACACTACTTTCGAAACTTACGGTAGAAAGTATTAAAGAATAAATTGTTTTGTTAAAGTGCCCCATTATTACAATATACCTCGATGGGACTAAAACTTATGGTGCCCCGTCTATATATACCGATAGCGCACGTGGAGTCAATATTCCATTATTACTCATTAAAATAATAGTAGGTATATATAGTGACATGTATCTAAAAAATTGGATCTTAGGTAAGAACCAACGTTCATTATGTATTTATATTAAATGGAAACAACTGCAAAATAATGAATAAAAATTGTAAAAAAATACGGTAAATCAAATACAGTATAATTAAAGATTTTGGATATTAGAAAATTGTACCTAATATACAATACTATTCTATTATCGTTAGTTTTTAAATATATTTTTCGTGGATGTAGTAAATGTGAATGTACATATATTAAAGAATATACAAATAAACAATTAAGTTATAAAGGGAACTTAATGGTCGAGCAATGGGTATATCGAATCAGCTTGTTGTTCCTCACTTAATGAAACGTCACTTTCCATTAAGCCGTAGGCTCTTTGCCATTCTTAGTTGATTAAAAAAATATATGTCTACCCTCTTTCTTTGACGTTTATTTTCGTGGATGTTAACACTACCTGCCAAGTGATCTCGATGGGACGTGATCAAAATAATGTACTAAAAAATTGTCGTAAGGTTCATTATGTATTTATATTAAATGGAAACAACTGCAAAATAATAAAAAAAAAATTGAAATACCAAAACAGGAATATTATGGTAACTAATATACAATACTATTCCTTCTTTTTTCGTGGATGTATATTTAGCGGTGGGCTTAAAATTTAATGACAAGCGTGATAATGATATATAATAATTTTATATATATATATCATATATAATATTTATTTTTATATATAAAATCCCATTGCATGGTGTTTGTTCACGTTAATCACCAAAACCATTCAACCGATTTTAATACGATTTATAAATATATATTTTTTGCGTCAATTTGACAGATAGGATAGTTTTAAAAAGATTAAAAAAATGAGCCCGGTTGGTCGAACGGTAGGGGGTTAGCAAAACAATGTTTGCGGGTCGGTTAGTAACAATATATTTTAAAGAACTTACTTGCAAAGACAGAAAGCGATTTCAGTGTTCCACTCCACTCCTGGTTTTCTGTAGAATCCTCTCAACGCAGCCATGCACCCTTCCCTGTCGCATTCCACGGCGTGACACTTCTGCAGCACGGGTGTCAGTGACGTCATGCACTCGGCATCCTTGATGCACGAGTCCAGAGCCACGTGACAGGTCGACTGCAGCGCCACCTTCTCATCACCTGCTTTACCGTTTTCCTTGCCAATCCTCTCTGTTGGTTGTTGCTTTGTGTTAGTTGTGTGAAGTTTGTGTGAAACTGACGTATGTTATAACATACCTAGTAATGTCTGTCAATCGTTGTTGTACTCTATTCGTATTTGACGAACGTTTAAAATTGTTTATCATATTCATACACATTATAACATTGGATCGTTTTGTGTATTAACATTATCTAACGCATACATTAACCTACGTGTCCGTAATTATTTATTTGTATTTTGAAACCCATTCGATATAGTTGTTTTATCATTATAAAGCAATAAAACAATTAATACACAGATTTAATAACTATACCCATAATAAAATACAAATCCGTTTAAATAAATAGATAGATGAAAACAAAGAACCGAAACCTAAATATTACTGAAATTAATAACATAAAATGTTAGGTATAATATATGAAAGTGATATATAGATACAGTTAATTACAATATGCTCATGCCAAGACAATATAATTTACAAACTGTGTTAAAAATTTATACGATACGTGTGATAAATTCTGTAGAAACGTTTGCGCTGTGTGGGATACACGATGGGTTGCCAATGGTCAACTTATGAAATAGTATGTATTTTAATACAAGCAACTTGATAATTTATCATGCTCATATAAAGTTTAATGACTGATTATAATCAATAAAATGTACTAAAGAGAAAAATGTCGTATACGATACAGGAAACTGTTTAATAAACAACGTTAAAATCAAACGAGAGAATCAAAGGTATTATTTCAGTAAAATGCTTACAATTCATAAGACCCATTAAACAATTTCCTTTGTTCTTCACATTCAAAGACCGAGTTAAATCCACGGTGGATGAATCATTGAGTCTTTAGCGAAGATTGCGAAGCTACCCGGATATCCAGTATCTAAGCGTCTTTACTAAATTCGTCTTTTTACAACTAAACATTCTACATTTTTACTGTGGACCACAAGGAAAAAAGGAAGCAATTCAAGGGCTCTAAAGCATTTGCTAGGAGGATCCCTTCTAAGTCCTTTGTCTACGCAAAGCTTTACTTTGTGTTCATGTTTCATTATTTATTCTTTGTTAACCTAATTTTGTACTAATTTTAGAAGTGGAAGATCTAATCTAGAGTGCTCGAATACGGGAATGAAATAAAGTCGGGACAGGGTCACAAATGAGCACTTGGAAATAAATTTAATATGTGCTAGAAAGTTAGATACCAAACCACCCGTGATTTGACCTCGTCAAGGTTGTTGGCTAGAACTGTACAGACTAAGCCCAAAGTGAGTGTAACTTACGATATCTATGGTTGTACTGTCTGTTAATAAGTGTTAATAATTAAGTACCACCTTTACATGACATCAACTAATATCTCCGTTTAATTTTTATTATTAAAAGTTATATATAAATAAGTAACTAATGTAATAAAGGAAATTTCGACATTTTCAGTATAATTCAAATATATGTTAAATGCAGTATGTGTATACCTGGTAAAAGATTATTTCAATTACCATTTTATATATTTGAAAATATTATTAATTTATTACATTTCATGAAATCATGACAGTAACAATTGTATATACTATATAATTTATTATTCAAATAAGGAGTTATTAGTTAACATCAAAATAATTCCATTAATACATACGGTTTTCATCAATGTATCCATCTCCGAAGACTGTCTTGGTGGCGTAGAGAGGGTCTTCACTCCCCCCCGGCTCATGGTTCCGCCGATGGTAATGGTGCCCGTGGGGGTTGTAGTGCGGGCTTGCGTATCGATGCACGTGCGTCATTATTTTGTCCGGTGCGATCAGGTTTGCGTCCCGTGTTATGGACATAGCGCCGATCCATGACGTCGCATCAGATCCGGTAAGATTCGCGATCCGTCCGTCCGACATCAGCTTTACTGGAATTTCATCCATCGAATCGCTTAGCTCTGGAAGGCTCGACGACCGAGCCATAGCGCGACGGGACTCCGAAAATTAAGATCAGAGGCGATCGCGCCGGTCGATCGTACAAACACATCGAAAAAAAGAGACCCTACGAACGGAAAGATAAAAACATCAATCCAAACAACAACGATATCGGCATTCTTTACGACACTTATCGGGCAATGATAAATCCAATTTGATTGTTAAGGATTTAGAAAATTTCGATCCCGACGCAAAATATAGCAAAGCCTTTAATGATGGTAGTCCCGTTCGAACTATTGAACAAAGCCAAGTTTATGCCGCGCAGTAACCATAGAGATCGTAGAAAAATGGAAGATGCAGAGAGAAAACATGCAACATGCTCATTTCAAGAGTTACTGCCATTTTAGACTTTCATAATTACATTAAGAAATATATCGTGCTTGATTAAAGTCTATAGTGGCGTACAAAATTTATGGGAAAGGGAAATATCTAAATGCATGCAAGCATAAAGTAGGAGCGAATATTCATAAAGCGAAATTTGTAAATGCTAAACTTAAATCTTGAGGAGAGCTGCTCATATTAATTCAGTTTTATAATGAAGTTCAAAATTACTTAATTATTTCCATGAATTAACGATTATTTAAGTTTTAAAAGTAAAAATTTTAAATTTAAGGAAGCTAAGAAGTTAAAGCTGTGTTTCAAGAGATAAATTATCGCTGCGTATATCGTGATTAAATCACTTCTAAATGTATCTGAAAAAAAAATCGCGATGGATCTTATAAAATGTAGTCATGTTAATTATACTCGGTGGACGTCATTGATGGCGTAGTCATGCCACGCTCCTACCTTACGAAGCGTAGTGCGAAGCGTGCAGTGCGAGAGGCGACGGAATCCGACAGAGACACATAGACAGAGAGAGAGATAGAGAGAGAGAAGATGAAGAGAGGGTGCGGCGGCGGCTCACCGTGGCGGGGCCGAGGGGGGCGCGGGGAGAGGAGGGCAGCGCGCAGGAGGCTGGCGGCGGCGGCGCGCGTCATCAGCCTGGTGCCGTTCTCGGTGAGGAGCAGGATGGTACCGTCGGGCGCGGCGTAGCGGGTGAGGGGTGGAGCGCGCGCGGTTGGCCGCCTGGGGGCCTCGAAGAGCGCGCGGACCTCCGGCGGGCATTCACCCCACGCCGCCGCTGCCCCACAACCACGTTACCAACAACCACTACTGCCCACCATCCGTGCTCGCGAGCCGCACAAATGGACTACCCTTGAGGGACTTCAAAAAACAAGTGTAGAGTCCCTTGAGAGTATTCCATTTACAAAGACGAGGTAGAATCGAGATCTAGAGTAGTGTTCGCCGCCCCAATGACAATGCTCTATTGTCAGCAGTCCAGAGACCATCACCGAAGGCCGAAGGTGTTGGAAGCCAAGAGTTGAGGTAACTGCGGGCATTTGTACGGTGTGTGAGGTCAGGAGTACACTAAAAAGAAGCTCAGTGTCCGGTGAAACATAAAGGTAAACAGCCTTGTGTGGTAAAGTAGTGATCTAAGTCAATCCTAAGGCCTAGGCATCTAATCAGTGTGAAAAATAAAAAGGCACGTATATGAAAGAAATAGAAAAACAAAATAAATACAAAAAACAACTAATTTAACACTTTGACGACTATTTGAAAGTGAGTCTAGTACTCCTTAAAGCGTTTTATAGTGTAGTGTTACTGTTTTGACGTTTCTTCTTGTTTTATTTGACTGTACTTTTTGTATTAAGACTATGTAAATTTGTGATGTATCCATCTTAATTTAACATATATTTTATCAAAACAATATAATACTCAATTTAGACGCTCATGAAGTTGCTGTACCTAAAGGCACGATATTGGGTCCTGTTTTTCTTTAAACACACATAATTATAAACCTTGTAGGTAGTATAAGTGTTATAGATACGCGTGTACCTATGCGTTGCCATTTTTAACACTTAAAGCTATTCTAATATCATATGACATTATTCGGCATCAGTTATAAGAATCTGAGTGAGAAAATTATCACTTGGACAATACAATGTCGAGGAAAATATTTTTAATGATATGTTGTAAATTTAAACATTGATTATTCAATTTTCATTAAATATATGAATTATACCTAAATTATATATAAATTACACCTATATATATTAAGGGAAAGTAACATAATAATATATTAAACAGTTTCATTTGTATGAAAATAAATATTAAAGTGTTTAAAATATCCAATACATTCAAAAGCGCGGAATTTTAGAACTCGGAATGTTTTCATTAGAGCTATATAAATTTATTGAACTTTGATATGTAGGACATATTGGGAATACATAATATAATATATATTATACCTGTAGTATATCTAGGTGTCTAGAATCTTGGATGCAGGTATTTTCAACCAATCCCTTCAGATATTTTTCCCGGGCTCGGGAACTTACAGAAAGTAATTGGAACAGTTGTGTGTGTTCCCACGTAGTGAAAGCAGACAGGGCTGGCGATGGCGATAAAACTAGAGTTTGAACGATCAATAACAGTAGATGAATCGTAATTTGAAACTAAAAAAAAAAACAAGAATATTCTCAATTCTATTGAATTTTTTGTGTACGCTGGAGATATATTTGTCAATTCTAATAAATTTAGACCAAAGAGTCTTTTTTTTATCGAAAGCGATAAAAAAATCATATAAGCGTATGGCGAAAAACTAGTGTTTGAACGATCAATAACAGGGGGCCTACCATGTAATAAAATTCCGAAATTTCGGACTCAATTTCGTGTTTCCGTTCATACCTAATCGAGCCAGCAAATGGAGCTTAACATTTCGTTCGTCATAAATCCTGCCATAAAAGTCCAGAGGAATAATATTTTCATATTTTTAGTGTTTTTAAACGGTAAGTATTATGTAATTTTAACATCAAATTTGTGTTTCGTTCGGCATCGAAATTTCGGAAAACATTTCATGGTAGGCTCTCTGTAGATGAATTGTAATTTGAAACTAACTTAAAAAAAAGAATGTTCTCAATTTTATTAAATTTTTTGTGTACGCTGGAGATATATTTGTCAATTCTAAATAAATTTAGACCAAAGGGTCTTTTTTTTATCGAAAGCGATAAAAAATTCATATAAGCGTATGGCGAAAAACTAGTGCTTGAACGATCAATAACAGGGGGCCTACCATGTAATGAAATTCCGAAATTTCGGACTCAATTTCGTGTTTCCGTTCATACCTAATCGAGCCAGCAAATGGAGCTTAACATTTCGTTCGTCATAAATCCTGCCATAAAAGTCCAGAGGAATAATATTTTCATATTTTTAGTGTTTTTAAACGGTAAGTATTATGTAATTTTAACATCAAATTTGTGTTTCGTTCGGCATCGAAATTTCGGAAAACATTTCATGGTAGGCCCTCTGTAGATGAATTGTAATTTGAAACTAACTTAAAAAAAAAGGATGTTCTCAATTCTATTAAATTTTTTGTGTACGCTGGAGATATATTTGTCAATTCTAAATAAATTTAGACCAAAGGGTCTTTTTTTTTAACGAAAGCGATAAAAAAAATTACATAAGCGTATGGCGATAAAGCACTAGTTTTCGAAAAATTCACGTAAGCTCCATATTAAATTTATTTACAGTAAATTTTTTAGAGAATGGCATTATTTCATTATGTTGTTAATCTGTATGTGCGATATATTCATGAAATACACAAAATGTCGTTTTTCAACCAACTTCAAAAAGAAGGAGGTTCTCAATTTGTGTGTATTTTTTATGTTTGTTATTTCATAACTTCATTAGTTATAAACCGATTTGGAGAATTCTTTTTCTTTTTCTGAAATGATCTACTTACAGACAGGTCCCCTAGAAATTTTATCAAAATTAGTTGAGTAATTTTGTTGTTAAATCAGAAGAATGGTTTGCGATAATTGAAGTCGGTGTTTTTGTGGAACACAATGTTACATTATTAAAAAAACTAATGTATAATGTATCTGACGTTACATATTTGTTTCGTAAAAAACAGTGTTTACAAAACATGACGATGAACGACTTTAATGCGTCTGTTAGACACAAGTTTTGATTTTAGAACGCGAAATCAAAGGCGAAACTGTGTGTTTACAAATATATATTACTAGCCGTATCGCGCGACTTTGCACGCGTGAATAAATAAGTATGTAAAGTATTCTATGCGCTAAGTTAAGGCATAACCTACCCGTGAACCAAATTAAATCCGTTCGGTAGTTTTTGTGTGAAAGAGTAACATCCATCCATCTTTATAAACTTTCACATTTATAATATTAAGAGTATTTTAAAATAGTTTTTTGCTAGCAGAAGTGCAACTTTAAATGTCACAAAATTAACAACCTTAAAACCTTCTTGATTGATAAAAGAATCATCAAAATCGACAATAGGAGAGAGGAATCTCAATTGTGTAATGTACACACAAAAGTGCACACGAATTGAGAAATCCCTTCCCTTGTTAGTACTTTAATTATAATACGATTGCTTAGATAGCTTAGTAGTTTAGATTACATTGCATAAAATATACACATATTTTTCTTCATTATATATAAAATGTATGTATAACGTACATAAATTTTAATCTGTTGTAATCTACAGTTTAAATTTAATATATATTATAGGTGACAACCCTGCTAGCGTGTTACAAGCACCGTAGATTCAGGATCATTGTTCGAGTGAAATTTTCTATAGCTTTGTTAAAAAGTAATGTTGTTAGTGGAGGTGTGACAATACCCATGAGTTTTCTTGAAAGTAGTTATTATGGAAACTGTTTTCCTTGTAAGGAAATACGTGGCAACTATTATTATGGAGTCTTATGTAAACTGTATAGTTATTTTTGTAATTACTTTTGTTGGTTTAATTCGTTTGCAAGGTTTAATAAAGTTTTTTGTATTTTTTGAGGTTTTGTGTATAGTTATGGATAATTGGGTAATTATAATTAATTAATTAGTCAATATTTAACTTTCAATGGCCGTGTGGTCCTGAC